GAGTAGCTTTCTCTATCACGCCATTTATCGACTGTTTTGATTGACTCATTGCTCCGCAGACATGTGCAGTCAGCCATCTTCCTGAAGCTGACGAGAAAGAAAACGCACTATTATTATTTTCTTTTCTACAACGCTTTTGAGTACAACGCGTCGCCATTAGTTTTTCTTTACTTTCAGTTTTGATAATTTTCCGCTTCTCGCTTAATTAATTATTTAATTAGCTTAAATTAATTTATATTTATTTTATTGAGTTTGTTGCAGATAATTTTTGGTTATTTCTGCAGTTAATTCACCGCTTTTTCCAGTGCCGGCTTTTTGACCACCACGTGCCAACCGGCTTCGCTTATTGTACATACGCTTTCATTAACTTATCCGCTTTATTAACAATAATCCGCTAACTTATCAAATAAATATTAAGTGTATTTTGCGTAAATAAATTTTGAGGGTTCATATTTGATCATATTTCATTGTTTTTTAATTGAGAATCCGGTCTAACCTGATCCCGCAGTTTCCCGCTCTTAGTACATTTTACAAACGGTGATCGACGTGGCTATTTAATAATATTTTTAAAAGATATTTTTTATAATTTAACGCAATTATGACGCAATTTTTGATAAACATTTGAAATTACTGAAAATTGATCATTAAATATCTCTGAAAATTTTGATTTTAGCGACCTGGTGCTTCAAACCTTTTTTGTAGAAAATTAAATTTTCTACGAGTTTGTCGTCATTTTTCTGTAGCTCTTGTCATTCACGAGATAAATGCGAAAAAACGCGAATTTCATGGAAAAATCAAGTTTAGAGGCCTGTACTACCTTGCCGGTTCGAGTTACGGCATGGCCGCAGTGGAAATTTTTGTAGAGCATTCAATTCTGAAAAAAACCCGTCCATGGTCGAAGTAATGCTATGAAATGCCACTGAGCTATAGAAATTTAAACATAAAAAAGCCAAAGTTTTTGTGTTATGTTAAGGGGAAATCTTTAAACGCCTGGGTCGAGGTCTTAATATTAATATTAAGGGCCCAAACTTTCAGGGTATTTTTTCTTGGGTACTTGCAACAAAATTTTACAATGGGACCGAAAAAAAAAAAATAGTTGAAAAAAAAAGCACCCTAGTGACTACGTTAGCTATAGTAGCTAGTTAGTCATACAGTTAGTTGTGTCTTTGTTTGGCACATACTTTACTGGAGACTGGCGCTCTCTCTCTAACACATAAAGAGACGTTATTTTAATCAATAATTAATTATCTACGCATCAAATTAAAAAATGGCTAAGGACTTATCGTCTCAGAATTATTTTTTTTCATCAGATGCTACAATGG